ATTTGTTTTCAGAACTAAGCATGATCCGAATTAATTATTCTCGGATTAAGAATCACTTCGAACAATTTTGCAAGCGCATTGTAGTTGCAAATACGAAATTTTTGGAACAAAATTTGGATACGAATCGTCGCTATCAATCTCAATCCAGCGACAAAGATGTCTGTTTTGAACTCGACTTTCTTCCATTTTCGTTTATCATCGACCGTGCAATGCTCGTCCATATCCGAAGAGCACTAGTCTATTGCGCGTCAACCATAGCTACAACTCTAATTATTGCAATTGCACTTTTTACATCAACTCAAGTGTTGGGGTATAATGAAGAAAATCTCAAGAAGCCAGTTGATCGAGCAACATGCAAATGCGATTGTTGGGATGGATTTTTCCGTGGTATTTATGATCGCGGTGGTTATAAAACTTTCTACTTCAATTATGAATTACAATTCATTTTTATCGTGGGCCTTTTCCTCTTTTATGCTGAACTCCTTCGACATTTTCTCGTACAACTAATTCTTCATAAACGATTTAAGTTACTCATGCTACTACCAGCAATATATCCAAATTACTACGGTGCTTGGGGTGTGATGAACTATTTGAATGATCACGACTATCACCGAATGCTACCTTCTCAACTCTTCTATTGTGTCACTGAACTTATTACTTCATATATCGTTTTTCAGTACTTATTGATCAATAGAAAAGAAACACCGATGGAAGCGTGCGGAATTTATTTGGTAGCTACAATTTCTTCTGTACATCTTATGGTCGCCATGAGTGAATTGAGTATTAATAATATGCTCAGAAACATCGCACTACTCGCTCCCGACTGGATCAATCTTATTTGGGCAACAACTCTTCTTATTAGAAATCCTGGACTCCGTCCAAATATATTCGTTGCCTTAAGTTGGATGTTGATTGGTTACTTTATCTTGCTGTTTTACTTTGTAGGCTGTCCATTTCTGGAATGATTGACTTTTATTTGATAACGATGACATTAATCTGAAAGATCACAACAATTACGATATAAGAAAAGAACTTTGCATGATTACTTAGTGAGACGATTTCTCATTGAAGAAATATTAACGCTGGTGGAATTGCGCTTTATTCTGTTTCCTTATATCATGAATCGTATCACTTACATATGGGGTGGGTGTGAGTTTGAGTAGACAAGCGAATATTCACGCCGCACACCCATACTGACACACATTCACACCCATACAACCGCATCCACATCCACATCCACAAAAAACCACATAATATTCCATCAAAAGGACGAAAAATCTACTTTTTTGTATGTTTGATATTTTGAGAAGAGATTGCCCTTTTTGGCAGAAATTTTCAGCAGATTTTACACTTATTGCAAACATGTTTATTTATCTAGCATCGAAATACCAGAAAGTGAGATCCTCTTCGGAGCCTTCGGTCCCACGATTAACCCTTTGGGGACAGGTGTTATATATATATATATATATATACTACTTCATGTATTTTACAAAATTTGAGAATGGTTTATATTTCACATCAATCAGAAGTGAGTGGAAATAGCCTGTAGAATAATATTCTTGTATCGATACAGTAAATTACCAATATTCGGAAAGTGCCAAAAATATCTACACTATTTATATGAAACGTAAAATTCAAAGAATTTATAGTTAAGAGTTTCGTGTTCAACTGATAAAAAAATATTATGTCAAACTATGGTGATCAAAAACGAATTTCTATCAGAAGACCATCAATTGATTCACTGCTATGTTTATCTGGTAGACATTTTCCAGCACTTGCACCCTAAATTACTTCAAAAATAGCTGTCCAAAGGAAATGTCATGTATGTTCTCATATAATGAAGCGTGAAAAGTCAGTCAAATATACAAGATATCAGTGTGAAGAATGTGATGGTGGATTATGCGTAATTGATTTTTTTTAAGCTTATCGCATCCTAGAACACTTTTGATAATGATTTTTAATTGAATAAACATATATCCTCACTCTAATAAAGACTTTAATTTTTTCAAAAAAAACCCCGTCCCCAAAGAGTTAAGTAATCGGAGAGGAGGGGTTGACAAATGGTTACCCCTGCTTATTCGGGGACAGAGAGGATGGAGGGATCAAAATTGCCAAAAATTTGCTTACGTGATAGTTTAATGGTTTCTAAAAGATTGTTGTGTGACGTTCTATCTATTTTAGATCAACGATGGCACAATCTAAAATGAATGCAACACGGTCTACTAATGAAAACGAAGCTATCATTCCGAATCATATGATCATCTTATTAGACAAACATATTGGGAAATCTGACGAATATAAGCTTCTAAAATCTTCCCTCTTCATGACGATGGATCCGACCACTGGCTTGTTTGAAAGAAATCTTAACAAAAATGATATTGACCGTAGTATTTGCTTAGATACAGCTCTTCTCGTGCAACTCAATGACGTTCAATTCATGTTTCAAGCTTTTAATGATATTGAAAAATGTTATGACACTATTGAAAAAAATCTGCACAAACGTATCTTCTTTATCACCTCTGGTTCACTAGGAAAAATTATTGTACCAAGTCTGGTGAAACTTTATCCAGAGACATTTCCACAAGATAATCCAATTTTTATTTTCTGTGCCAACTTGCTTATGGTACAAGTTGGAGATGTCTCACCAACTAATCTTTGGCTACAGGAATTTCTCGAGAATGTTTTGCCGTTTGATCATGAAAACACTCTGTTTGCTCGCATGACACGAGAAATTGCCAATTACTTTGCCACAGAAGCACAACATCTTGCTGATAGCCATCAGCCCGACAAAGCTCGTCAGTACCGAGACTGGTCCGAACGAATGCGTTGTCGGCATGAAGTATTAAAGAAACAACAAAACACCTAGACATGTAATCATAATCATTATTTTTAATTTTTTTTTTCTGTTAACTTGAATGGGTTCAGAGGTTTAATAAACAAGAAATGTGTTTTTTCATTCAGATCGATATTAAACAACAATTGATATCCATCATTGAACGACAGTGCTGCAGTTTATGTTAATACTTATGTTGTGGTTTGCTTCATTTGTAATTTGATTGATTGATAATTCCATGATCACAACGACATAAAACTCATGATGATCATCTAAATTTTTTGACTCAAAGAATACTTTTCTTTAAATATATTTACTTGATTTCCTTTCATCACTACCTATATTTGTTCATACAGAGTAGAATTACTAGAATTAAAGATATCCACAGGCCAAAATTTTATCTAAGACGGTGCCGAGAGATGGTGTGCGTGTGAGCATGGGTGTAGCAGTGAGTATGCGTGTGCGTGAGGATGTGGATGTGAAGAGAAGATTCATACACCGACAGCAACACTTACAATCCACACTCACACTCACACCCGCACCCCATACTCAGATCCACACCCATAACCACGCACCTCACAACCGCACCCAGCCACACATCCCACACTCACTCTATCTTCTACTGCATGATATTGTCAATATCTCTGCATTTGGCTTCTAATTATATATTTATAAACAAATTTTATCAACGATTACAATTTGTACAAATATATAATTTTCATGCTTTTTTTCATTAAAGATCATGCGCAATATTTTAATTTTAACATTACAAATAAAATAATGTAAGAAAAATCATGTTCTTCATCCTGTCAATTCTAGAAAATTATCCCACAACAAAACCTATTCTCAAATAATATAAATCTTATGTTTGTTTGAAACGATATGAATTTTTCTTTTCTACGCATTTGTAAAAGAGAAGAACAGCTATAACTTTACACGATAATTATATTTGGTTCAAACTAATTTTATATCGAAAAACATTGAATTTAGTGCGAGTTAGAATATATGGTTTTCATCAAAATCTTGTCATTCAAATTTGCATCGAGCTTCGTCAAAGAAGTCTAATGATAGCTTACTTTAATTCTATTATTGATTATTAGACTTCTGACTAATGCTCATTTCAGTCATATGATTCAGATACCGAACATTACTTCGTACTATTGATCATAGATAGAACCCTACACGAAGTCGATTTCGAAGTCAACTAAATTTTTTGTCGAAAATTCTGTCTTAATATATGAACTTTTTCCAATAGTAGGTTTTGTTCTCTGATATGTACTGTACAAACTGGTGCATTTTCACAGTTCCAACAATGCCTTGTAGAAGCTTCCGGGCACGACAAAGTCCGAGTCAAATTCAACTTCGACTTTCTTTTATGTTCATAGACCTTGATAAGGCGTTGTTGGAATCTCAAAAACACATCAGTTTGTACAGTAAATATCAGAGAACAGAATCTACTATTAAATAGAGTTCAGTTGTTAAAACCAGATTTTCGACAAAAAATTTAGTTGACTACGAAATTAACTTCGTGTAGGGCTCTAATCATAGACAATCATGTCAATATCTGCGGTCGTTTGATTACTATGTGTCTAGTTTTAATCGGTTTTATCAACAATTCAAGTTTTGGTAATTCATTGTTTCTTTCCTTTTCTTTTATAGATACTATTTTCGATACTTGAATAAGTATATTTGACTTGCATTTATTTAAAAGATTATCAATGTCAATAAATAATGATTTTTCTGAAAAGAAAAAATGATTTATGAATTACTCCTAATTAGTAAATGCATCGATTAAAGAAAAACAAAATTTGGTACAAAATCGAGCTTGACTCAAAATATCAAATAAACAGATTATTTTAATTTATTATGTGATAATCAGAAAATAAAGTAAGGGCGCTTTGTTTCGTATATTTATATTTATTTGATTCGAGTTTGTTAGTCATGTCGATACATTGTTTTTTTATTTTTTTCTATTTATTTTTGTTATTAAATACAATCGAAGCAGGTAAAATAACTGGTCTTTCATCTAAAAACTCTGAAGATGGTCAATCAACACAAGAACTAAAGAAATCATCAAAAGATGATCAACCTCCTTTATTAGATTCTACAAATGATCATCTACAAGAAGAACTTGATGAAGCAATTAACGATAATGAAAATCGTTTAATAGACTCAAAAGATAATAAATTAGATAAAACAAATGAACAAAAATTATTAGACATAACACATCGTCTATTAGAATTAGAACTTGAAGAAGCATCTGAAGATGATGCTCACGTACCTTCATCATTAGATAATTCATTATTTGAGAAAATTGATGATGAGAATTTTGAAGATTTAACATTATCAATGAGTTCAGTACCAGATATAAATCAAGAAATGAAATATTTTTCATTAGATAAAGTAACTCCTGGTTCTATTCCAGCCGGTATCATTGTACAAAATTATTCACTTTCAGATAAAATGAAATTAATTCGTTTATATCAAAGTAATAAAATTGAAGATACAAAAGAATTATTTGATTATATATCACAACATATTCATAATAGATATATGAATTGTGCATTAAATTTACGAAAATGGATTATAAATCCACGTTCAGGAGAACCAATATTCTATCGAAATTGTGTTCCATGTACAAATGCTGTAGATCTTAATTTACAAAGTTTATTTGATCATCAAATACATATTGATAAATTACAACATTATTTTGTAAATACTTGTCATATGGAAAAACAATGGATCTCTTATATAAGTAATATGGAATATTTACAAGTTGATTTAAAACGACATCCAGCTACAACTTTTACAGATCTTATACGTCAAAATCTTATTCCTAATCATAGGTTTAAATTACATATTTAAATGCATATTTTTACAGACGTTTTTTTTTCGTCGATAATTCCTTTAGATATATATTTCAAGGAATAGTTAAATCAGATCGTGGAATAAATCATAAAGATTTTCTTCATGTATGTAATTTAATTAATGATGAATATGGTCATATATGGATTATTGATGGGCAAATAGAAAGAGTTTTTGATCTTAATCAATCAGATGATATCAAAGAACTTGATAGAAGATATCGAATTGATTATGTTGCACGTGCTTTTACTGGATTATTTCGACCACCATCACTTACACAACATTCGAAATATTTTCGAAATGAATTTGGATCTGAAGAAGCACCTACTGGTGCATTTAGTTTGTCACATTAACTTTTTAAATAATTTTTATTATAAAATTTATTTTCATATCTTCGAATTTTATTTTAAGTAAATAAATATGACAGAAAAAAAACCCATGTTCATTATTTATTTGAGTAATTAATTAAATCTTTTTTACTTTACAAAGAATATTATTTCATCAAAATGTAATAGAATTCTGTGAGACAATATTTTGTTTAACTTCCTTTACTTATCAGCTATCTGTGCAAAACTGCACAATTTACAACATTTAATAACGTTTTCTAGTCATTTAAATTTTCAAGAAATGCTTTCGAATGTGATATAATAGTCTAAAACGTTTTGTTAATGTCGTTCACTCTTTTTTTCGTTGCTAAGAAACTATCGGAAAAAAGTTTGAGACCTATTGTTTTCGGTTGCTAGACGAGGACCGGTCGCCCATGACCTTTGATTCTGTTTGCTAAGGTCTTTAACGGAAGGCGAGAGAGCCGGAAAGTTTCCAGTTTAAAGTGACAATATATGTGATTTACACAAAATACGCTGAAAATGCGTAATAAAGGAATTAGAGGCTAAAAATGCTCTGAGCTGGAAAATAATCTAGAAATACTTTTTCTATGAAGCATTTTTTCTTCACTATTCGAAAGAAACTGAACATCCATTTTTATCTCTCGACATTTCTGTTCTTTTGAATCTTTTTTACTATTTGTATTACAGAAATTTGGGTCCAGTCTGAATCTTCGGTGAGTTTTTGGATCGGATCGAAAGTTATAAGGGAATTTTGACCCCTAACCTCATCGATCCTTAAAATAAAAAGACCTAATTTGCTTAATTAGTTGCGTGATATCGTGGTGCTGAGCAGAACGACATAATGCTTAGAGTGTATATCTTTTTTACATTAGCAGTGGCAATCACACATCATATATTCACATCCCAAACCGCCGCATCAGTGTCTACACATCCACACCTTGATGTGTGACTGGCACTGCTGCTGTAAAAGAGATCCATACTGTTGGCATTGTGCCGTCCTGCTCAGCATCACGATATCTCGCAACTAATTAAGCAAATTGTATCTTTTTTATTTTAAGAGTCAATGAGGACACGGGCCGAAATTTCGGTCTCTCAATTATTTACATACGCATATTCGAATTTTATTTCAATTGTTTAACAATTTTATTATAATATCAAGAGTTAATTGATGAATAAAACTACATTAGTTATTTTTGACTTGCAATTATTTATTGAATATAAACGCAACGACACGATAACAACATGGAATTTGAACATCATTGTCTTTATCAAATTCATTGACAACAACAATAATAAATAATAATATACGAAAACAATTCTTATCATCAACAAATACTAACAATCGGTCAATAGTTGCTCATGCTCAACCGTCATCTAATAACCAATCGATTAGTGAAATTATCATAGATACAATTTAAAACGTATTTAGCAGTACGACAACTCTAACAAGATTCTTTTGTAAAACTATTATGTCACAGTATAACCGAAATGATTCTATTATTGAAAAAAGTAAAGCTCTCAACACATTAGAAAATTCTTCCTCTCCGCATGATAAAACATCTTTAAATCAATGAGGAGAAAAACAGTTTAGAAGATTCCTCTGAGATTTGAATTTTTTCATCATTTCTGTTGAGTTTTTATTTAAATATTAATATCTAAGTTTAGTATGAACAATATATTGTTTCTGTTCACTTAGCGATGTGTCAGTTCCACGTTAGACAAATCATGAGAAAAAGCTATTAGAAATAAATGGTTATATAAAAAAATAACGTGTCTGTGTTTTTTTAAAATTAATAAACGTGTTTTTGGTCCATTTAAATGCTCCTGCACATTCAGGAAGACGAGTGCTAAGAGAAACACATTTATACCCGTTATTTTGACGATTTTATCTAGCTTGGCAGTACATTCTGAAGAAATGTACAACGTTATTTTCGTGAAAAAAATTCGTTTTCACAGTCGTAGGAGATGATTAACGTGGTTTATATCCCCGTCGTGGTGTGGAGGCACATAGCATTCCCTACACCCTTCCCAAAGAGCCGTAACCTATACTCGTCTCTGTGTACACAGTAAAGTCTATTCTTATTTTATGTTGGGACACTATCGACAACAAAGCACAAGCTCAGACATATAGGAAAGGCATAAATCTAAAGGAAATGGTTCCATTTCTATCAGAAAGGCTTCGCCCCACGAAAAATCAAGCAGAAATATTTTTTTTTAGAAAACAGTATCCATTACTTCAAATCATTCATACCAGAGAAAAGCGAGACATTGATAGGAGAGAAATCATTTACTTTCATAAATAGAAGTCAACAAGACTTAAGCATATTTCAATCATATTACTGTTTTACCCTAAGAAGAAATCTTAGTAGAAATAGATTTTTTTTCAACAGAAATGTAAAGTTCTCAAAGAGAAATCATGCATCCATTTCTATGTTGATAAACAGAAGTCAAAAATAAAATATGGTGCTATTCTTTTTTTTTTCATTTCTTCTTGATATGCCTGACTTTATGAAGGATGAACAATTTCCCTATAAATTATCCACTGTTGTTAAACAGAAAAGGAGAGTTTGGACATATTTTTATCGTTTTCGATCGAAACGAGAAACCACAGGGGCTCAACTATGTATATTGCAATTTATTTGATGAAAAAATCAGAAAGCAACGAAGATACTGAATCAGAAGTGGCTTTAATGAATATATTATTAATTTATAAGATAGTTGAGGAACATTGTAACTATATACATGATTTTATTCGATTTAAAAAAATATGTGAACCGTATATGCCATGTCATTATAAGAGAGTAGTAGCTAAGTGACATGTGGTTCAAAAGAAGAAGAAAGTTGTTAAACAATAATAATCTTATTTTAATGCAACCATGAAAAAAATTGTCTATCTATTTTATTTCGTGCTAAGATTCCATCTTCGTAAATTAAACTAAGAAGAAATTATATTTTTCTACTTCTATGGACGAATTTTGAGTGTGAAGTATCTGAATGAACTAGCCAGTAAAGAGAAAGTATGACTATATTATTAAGAAAAATGTATATAGCTTAAAAATGAATCAAACAAAAAAAAAAGGTCATGATGTTCAACGGAATTTGTTCAATGATCAATATTTATAATTGATCATAATTAAAACTCAATTTTGTTTGTTAACATTTTCTCAAGATTCCTGAAATGCGTCTAAATTTTTTTCAACTATTTAATATAATTATGAAATTTTCCATTATTTTTAATTTTTTGTAACGTATTTATCGTATATTTTTTATCTATTACAAAGTACGAAATTTCGGCGAAAAAATTTTTTGAAATAATTGTGATAAATGATGCACTTGTCAAAAATACAATATAGTGACAATGTCGTAATTTAATTTTGTAATAAATAAATAGTTTTATCATGAATAAATATTAATTTAGATTATATTATTCTCGCCGCGGTGGCTCAGTCGGTAGAGCGTCAGTCTCATAATCTGAAGGCCGTGAGTTCGATCCTCACCCGGGGCAGATTCCTTTTTTTTTTTCTTCTGCTTATTTCTCTTTCATAGTTCTTTATGCTTTCCGATACAAGAAGTAACAGATGTTCTATTTATTGCAATAAATTTTTTTTATTATTTTCAATTGTATCATTTATGGAATAATGTTAAGAAAAAGCAAAGGACCCATGATACAAGTTGATCGTTTAATTTTTGATACAAGAAATAAAACGAAACCAAATTCAATTATTTCAGGTTCAATTTTTATTTAAATTGACTTAAAAAAAATACAACAAAACAATAATATATATTTAGCTATATCTCATTCATTACCTATCTTAAATTTACCATCTAATTTATCAGTTAAAAAAAATAACGAATATATTTCTGGTGAATCTTATGTTTCATTTCCTGCAAATAAATTAAAAGTAATTCGTTTAACACTTGATGATATAAATAATGAAAAAATAGTTTTCAATGAAAATGAAAAGAAAATCTATTCAATCAATCAACAATCATCATCATCATCATCATCACCATCATCATCATCATCAGTAAGAACAAGGTTTTTTTATGCAAAATGATTTTAATTTTCTTTTTTATTTGTTTAATAGATATTAGAAGACAATCTGAAAAAGAAGAACGAAAATATTTTTTCACCAGTTTATGAATCAATCGATGAAAAACGAGATATAATTAATCATAATAAAAAACAGACAAATATTTATGATGATCCATTTGAAATACTTTAATAGCTATTCATCTTAATTAACTTCTTTCGATTGTATAAAACTTCTCCGAAATATAATATTCAAGTGTTAAATTTGATCCATTCACTAAAACTGAACAATAACCATACATCATTTTTTTTGTTGTTTAGAAGAAAAAAGAAAAAAGAAAATGAGACGAAATATGTTGTGTGTTCTCTTTCAATAAAAATAAGAAAAAGAAAGCCCGGAGAATTTTTTCTTTTTAATAGAAATTCTTTCTGCTCGTTCTCTATTCAGGTAGGTATTCACTGACAAACTCTCTATGCCTCGTTTGACGAATTGAAAAAAAAAACGAACAATCACAAGTTCGACAAGAGTATAGAATATGAACTTTTATCTAGAAATAATCAATTGAAGAAAACTGATTACATATTTCTCGATGGATTCTATTGAAAATAACAATGACTACTTTATTTATACAAAAAAAAATAATATTTTTCATAAGATCTTTTTTTCTAATATTTTAAGAATTAATTTGATTTAAATCGATTTCTTCTATTTAGAAAATTTTCCTACGTAAAAAAACACTTTTTTTAGATTCGGCTACTTATAATCAATTGATATATGAATTCTAAAAGTATAACTAAATTGGAAGATTTACCCGATGAATTATTATTATTAATTTGTCGTTATTTAAATATAATTGAAATTTTAAATGGTTTTAGTTGTTTAAATGCTCGTTTATCAAAAACAATAAGTGAATTTAGTATAAAAATTGATTTAAATATAATTCCATTAAAATTAATAAATCGTTTTTTAAAT